GGAATGTGCATCCTCAGTTCAAGGCCAGCCTGGTTTATAGAGCGAGTTACAGGACAGTCAGGACTACATAGAGAAACCCTGTCTCTAAAGACCACCCTTCCAAAGTATGTGTGTGATGTATGTATGTATGTATGTATGCATGCATGTATGATCTGTGTGCCCATGTTTTGCTTCATGCTTGTGCACAGAGCTGGAGGAGACCAGAAAGGGGGGTTGGATCTCCTGGAACTGGAGTCTTGGGTGGCTGTGAGCCGCCTTGTGGATGCTGGGAACAGAAGCCCAGCCCTCTGCAAGAACAGCGAGTGCTCTTAGGTGCTCAGCAGTCTTCCGGTCCTCAGACAAACCTTCCAAATACCAGAACTGCGGGGGCTCTAACCTCTCTACAATAAAGTCTCACTATGTACGCAGTTCTGGCTGACCAGGAGTCACAGATCCCCCTGCGGCTCTAGTTCTGATCCTTAAAACAATAAACATAAACCTGAGGCAATCTACACGGATTTTTAAAAAAATGTCCCTTTCATCTCCTTAGTCGACCAAAACAAAAAGTGAAAATAACCAGAGACTTTTTCAGGGTTTTTTTCCCCTACGTCAAATTTGCTTTTTTTTTTTTTGGACAATTATAGACTGGAAAGTTGTGGCTTTTTTTCTTCCCCCCTCACTGTGAAGGGCTTGGGGGCTGCAAGCGGGGGGCAGGGCGTCTTCCAGGCAGGCCGACCCAGCTGGCCACCGTGAAGTGCGCTTTCAGGAAACGCCGCTGGGCCGGGCCGGGACGGGCCGAGCCCAGGAAGTCACGCAGCGCAGGGTCACGGAAATCCCCGGCGGGTTGTCACCGGGTGCGGAGGAAGTGCGTGTGGTTTTCACCCTGGACTTCCCCGAGCCCGCGCGCCCCAGAGGAAAGCACCGGGCGGGCGCGCACGCCCGGGCACGGCAGGCTGCACCATTTAAAGGCGTGGTGACCCTCAGCCGCACCCCACAGACCAGGCGACAGGTGCTGCCCCGGGGATCCAGGTGTGGAGCCCAGGAGCGGGCTGCGGTGAGTACCCGCGCCCGCCCGCGCGCGCGCACGGAGAGCCGCGAGGGTCCCGGGGTGGCTCCGGGGCCGCTGGGGTGGCTGCTGGGACCTTCTGGCCCTGCCCCTGCCCCAGCTGACTTGCAGGGTGTCCCCACGGACCCTGGGGGCATCGGGGAGACTGGGCTTGGGGCAGCCTTAGCTCCAGAGCGGTTGCTTCCCTAGTGATCAGCCTGACTTGCAGGGTGTCCCCACGGACCCTGGCTGCCCTCGGGCATCGGGGAGACTGGGCTTGGGGCAGCCTTAGCTCCAGAGCGGTTGCTTCCCTAGTGATCAGCCTGACTTGCAGGGTGTCCCCACGGACCCTGGCTGCCCTCGGGCATCGGGGAGACTGGGCTTGGGGCAGCCTTAGCTCCAGAGCGGTTGCTTCCCTAGTGATCAGCCTGACTTGCAGGGTGTCCCCACGGACCCTGGCTGCCCTCGGGCATCGGGGAGACTGGGCTTGGGGCAGCCTTAGCTCCAGAGCGGTTGCTTCCCTAGTGATCAGCCTGGACGCACACTAGGCTCTTGCTTTTGGGGGAGTGACGCCGTTGGAGACCGCTCTCACACTACAGTTGAGGCTGGCTTGGAAATCTGGGATATCCCCTCCCGTAACCCCTTGAGTGCTGGGCACCCCGTTTCTCAGCTCTTGATGTAGTCAGGAAATGGCTGTGGTCGTTTCTCTGCCTACCACACGCCAGCGTCTGCCCTGCAGACTTACATCGCCAGGTGTACACCTAACGGGCAGTTGTAAGAAGTGGGCGCCATTATTAGCCCCATTCTGCAGTCGCAAAACTGAGGCACATGCGGTTTTCCCGGGCCTCACTGTGTGTCCCTGGCTGGCCTGAGACTGTTAAAGTAGAACTGGCTGGCTTTGAACTCAAGCAAACATTGATATCTACCTGCCGCTGCCTCCGGAGTGTCGGGATTTTACAAAGCTGACACGGTCCTTGAAAACCTATGATATGTGACTTAATAAATGAAGGTGCCGTGGACATGATGAGCCCTGTCAGCTGGGCTAAGAAATTCTTCAACATAAGTTTTGCTGGGATTAGTAGTGCAGGCCTGTAATCGCAGTACTTGGGAGGAGGAGGCAGGCGGATCAGGAGTTCAAGGCCATCCTCGGGTATGTGTCACAGAACAGCTGCAAGGCTCAGTGTCTTTGCTAGACCGGTGACTGTGGCTACTACAGAAATGAAAGCATACTTCCTCTTCTGGAGGAGATACAGTCCGAGGCTGAGGGAAAAAAGACACATTTACCCTGCAGTGTCCCAGAGATGGTCAGGCTGACCACGTCGGAGGGTGGGGACACTGGAAATAGAGTGAGCAGAGACGAGATGGGGGCCCCAAGCTGCTCCGTAAGCAACCGCCGTGAAGGAAAGAGGAAATCTACACACTGATGTGGACAGAGGCAGGGGTCCAGACATGTCTAAGAGGGAGAAAATGCCAGCACGTCCCGTGGATTTGAGGTTATGAAGCTGTAGCGTGTTTGAAGGGGTTGCTGGCACGCGGAGTAGCTGTTTGTGTGAAGATGTGAGTCATAGATAGCTTGTTCCGTGGGCTTGGTGGTGGAGGGCGGACCTGGCCCTGGAGAGGCTGGAGGCTGAGGGGACTCAGCATGAGCACTGTCTAGAGGGATAGGGTGCTGGTTTGAGGCGAGGTGAAGGAGTCTAGTCAAGGCAGGGGGAGGGTGGCTCCATGAAGGGACGGTCTGTCTGAGGCTGCAGAAAGGCTTGTGAATACAGGCAGGCACCTCCGTGGGGAACGGAGGCAGGGGGCTGCACCTCTTTTCTGAAGAACACAGCTAATTGAGTGAACAGGAAAAAGTGAACCTGGAGGAAGGGACCGAGGCTAGAGGTATTCCTAGTTAGCATGTGAAGAAAACAAACCCTCTGTTGCTGGGACGGTGGCTATGGAAATCAGTGCAGCATGTCAGGAAACTAAATGCAGAACTGCCATGTGACCCAGCTCTCCTGCTCCTTGATAGGTACATGGGAGAGTTTAACACAGTTTGGGAGACATTCCTGAGTATCCTGTTCTGTCACTGTGAGGAGACGTGGCCAAGACAATTTACCCGAGGGAGCTTTGGCCAGGGCTTGCTTAGTGTCAGAGGTGCAGCCCATGGTCATCGTGACAGGTGACAGGGAGCATGGCAGTATGCAGCAGGAAGGCATGGTGCTAGAGAAGCCTCTGGAAGCTACATGCAGACCCACAGGCAGCAGCAGAGGGAAAGCCTGGGCCAACCTCTAGCAACGCACCTCCTCCAACAAGGACATACCCCTAACCTTTCCTAAACAGTCCACCAGCTCAGGACCAGACATTCGGTCCATCACACTGTTTATAGGGCCACTGTTCGCAACGGGACAGATCGGATGCCTGCTAACAGATACCTGGACGAAGGAAATGTGTCTGTGTGTGTGTGTGTACACTGTGTACTACTCAGCTGTAAAGAGAAAGGTACAATTTGAAGAAATAGAAGAAGGCAGAGGTGTGCCTTTGTCTGAAGAGGGACTGTTACTAACACTCGATGGAGAGTTGGGAGGGGCAGAGGAGGATTTGAAGAAAGGATCAAAGTACAGAGTATGCAAATGTGTGAATGTCACAATCACATCTACTAATTTGTTTAGTCAGCATTAATAACTTCTTAAAAACCGTTTATTTATTGTATGAATGATCTCTCTGCATGTGCCAGTTGTGCCAGAAGAGGGCACCAGATCCAATTTGTGGTGGGTGGGAATTGAACTCAGGACCTCTGGAAGAACAGCCAGTGCCCTTAACGGCTGAGCCATGTCGCCAGCCCCTGTATCAGTAATTCTAAAAAAGACAATTAGAAGCTGAGTGGTGGCTCATGCCTGTGACTTCAGAACTCAGGAGGCACACACAATGTATCACTGTTTGAGGCTAGCCTGGGCTACAGGCTGAGTACCAAGCTAGCCCGAGCCGTAGCACGAGTATCCGCCTGAGACAAAACAGAAAAGGCACAGGAGTAAGAGTTAAGTATTGTGGCTCTTGAAATTACTGCAAAGAGCCCTGGGGCTGGAGAGATGGCCCAGTGGTTAAGAGCACCCACTGCTCTTACAGTCAGAAATAAAAAGGGATCCCCTCTAGCTCTGAAATTGCATTACTGTTATACCCGATGTTAATTTTGGGGGACTGGTTGCAAAGCATGTGTGAACTCTGCAAACTTGTTTACAGTACAACTTAATTTCTATTTTGTCTGTGAGCTTTGGTCTGCAGCTTGTGAGCTCTGTGTGAGATTTCTTGGCTGCCCACACCCAGGGCATGCAGCCTTGTTTTCTCAGAGTCGGGGACTGAGGCAGGAGCCTTGAGTGTGGCATCTGAGTGCACTGCCACTGAGCCCCGCCTCCAGCCCAAATTAGCATAGCTTCTTGCTACAGACCAGTTCCTAATTTGGACAAAGCATCTTGAGGGAAAGATCGTGATGACACTTGCTTGTAATCCTAGGGTTTGGGAAACAGACAGGAAGGTCATGTGTTTGAGCCTGTCTTAGAGAAGTCTCCAGAGAGAGGGAGTGGGGGAAGAAAGAAAAGAGGTATTGTAACCCTAAGTTATTTGACTTTAATTTCTCTATTTTAAACAGGTTTACAAAGGACACAAACCCTTCTACTGCTTGTAGCTTTTTCTTTCTCAGTTTCTTCTGTAAACCAAAACATCTCAAAATGGAGGCCTAAAACCCTTAAAGGGACTTAGTCTAATCTCGGGAGGTAGTTCTGTGCATGGACAGACAAATTCCTCCCTCAGCTGACTTTCTGGACAGTTGTCTAGAGATGACCATTTGATCTGTAGTCTGATCGCCTGAGGCAAGGGTTTTATGATCTGGTGGTGAACTTGACCCCTGGAAGGGAAGGCATTCTGTGGCTGGGCAGTGTTGAAGCACTCTTCAGAACACTCCCTGGCAATCTCCCACGGGCTGGCACTTTTAAAAAAGTGCTCGAGTTGAAGAGAGATCCAAACATGAGTGCTGATTATCCAGAGGAAATGAGTAATCCGGTTTCTGCAGGAGCACAGAAGTGTACTCATGAGGTCGCTGACACGTTCAGAGATTGCGACAATGACAGAGAACAAACAGGAACAAAATGTTCTGGTAGGCACAGCAGAGTTAGAGGAAGTAAGACAGACAGTAAGCTAGAGTTGAGAAACTGTCCACCCACAAGCCCAGTGACCCACACTGCATGACTTTCAAACAGACTCCAAGCACGAGAGTAGAGGCAGCTACAGCATTTTCACAGATGAGCCAGTTTATTCAGAAAGAAAATGTCACAGAACGCCCAAGTTTTCATGACCCTTGGAGAGGACAGAGAGGTTAGACACAGTGATTTCTCCTGAGAGAGACTCTTGTTGACAGCTGTGGGATTTCTCCTGCCATTTGGAGATGATGGGTTGGTGTCCTTGGTAGAGAACCTGCCATATCTGTGAACTACAGGAAGCCACTCCAGCCAGTGGTAGCAAACCCCCATGCTGGATTTGCTAATGGCTAGTGAGTCCTTATTTGAGAAACTCTCCACGTTCAGATGGTTATAGACGGTGTTGTTTGTTTTGATAAATATGTGCTCAGGGAACTGTGCAGTTCTGTGACCAAAACTAAAAGTCTGAGTCTCAAGCCTACATTGGTGGCACACACCTTTAACCCCAGCACTTAGGAGGCAGAGGCAGACTGATCTCTGAGTTTGAGGCCAGGCTGGTTTGCAGAGTGAGTTCTAAGACAGCCAGGGCTACACAGAGGAAATCCTGTCTTTAAAAAGACAGAGAAAGAGAGAGAGGGAGGGAGGGAGGGAGGGAGAGAGAGAGAGGGAGGGAGGGAGAGAGAGGGAGGGAGGGAGGGAGGGAGGGAGAGAGAGGGAGGGAGGGAGGGAGGGAGAGAGAGAGAGGGAGGGAGGGAGGGAGGGAGCTTGAGACTTGCGGTAGAACCCAGTGGTATGACATAGGTTTTGTGATCCCAAGGCCCCGGGCTCAGACCCCAGTGCTACAGAGGAACACAGAGGTTTGAGTAGAGAGGGTCAATTAGTAAGTCTGATCTTGGTCCTTTGAAAGGAAACAAAAACCAAACAAAAGTCTTGAAGTGGTTTATTATTTTAAAATTGTGTCTGATCCATGTTTCATCCTATATGAATACATACAAACCTTCATGAAACAGACTTCCTGTGCAGGTTGGGTGAACGCTACTAGTGCCCCCTGGTGGCGATGAGAAACAGACTTGCCCCTCAAGATGCCGGGCCGGCCCAAAGTGCCCAGACACTGTTTCCAGAGTGGAATCAACTTCTGATACACATCGGCTTTTAGGCAGAATCTAGTTTTTATTGTACGCGTGAAGATTGTGCCAAGGTGTGGTTATGTGCAATTGCGCCTTAAAATGTGTCAGGGTAGGATTCAGACTCTGATACTACTGAATCCTAAAATACATAGAAGAAAAAAAAAATGAGTTTGTTCTTATTTTAGGTGTTCAGCCTAGTAGTAAAACTGACCAAAAGCCATGCACAGAACTACCTCCCCAGAGGAAGGCTGGTCCCTCCCCGTCCCCGCCGATTCGTCATGAACATGGCTCCAGATGGCGTCTTCCTATCCAAGCTGATGAAGGGTGCTGACACTTTTGAGTTGAAGTACGACTTTTCGTGTGAGCTGTACCGCTTGTCCACGTACTCCGCTTTTCCCGCTGGAGTTCCTGTCTCAGAAAGGAGCCTGGCTCGTGCTGGCTTTTACTACACGGGTGTCAACGACAAGGTCAAGTGCTTCTGCTGTGGCCTGATGCTGGACAACTGGAAGCGAGGCGACAGTCCTGTGGAAAAGCACAGGCAGCTGTACCCCAGCTGCAGCTTCGTCCGAACTCTGAATCCAGCCGGCAGTCTGGAAGCCAGCCCTCAGCCATCTCTTCCGTCGGCAGCACCGAGCACTGTGCCTTCATTATTTGCAAGTCTGGAGAACACTGGCTATTTCAGCGGCTCGTATTCAAGCTTTCCCTCGGAACCTGTGAACTTCAGAGCAAATCAAGATTGTCCCGCTTTGAGGACAAGTCCCAACCACTTTGCAATGAATATGGAGAAGGCCAGATTACTCACCTACCAAACGTGGCCGTTGTCCTTCCTGTCACCAGCCGAGCTGGCCAGAGCTGGCTTCTACTACGTAGGCCCTGGAGACAGGGTGGCCTGCTTTGCCTGCGGTGGGAAACTGAGCAACTGGGAACCGAAGGATGACGCTATGTCAGAGCATCGGAGACATTTTCCCAACTGTCCGTTCTTAAAAGACCCAAGTCAGCCCGCTTCAAGGTACTCTGTCTCTAACCTGAGCATGCAGATACACGCAGCACGCGTCAGGACGTTCTCTAGCTGGCCTTCCAGTGCTCTGGTCCATCCTCAGCAACTTGCAAGTGCGGGCTTTTATTACACAGGTGAGAAACTCAATCTCTTAAAGATCCATCATGTGTTATGTCATACACGTGAGCAGGCAAATGTTACGTACTCATAAGTGTGCTTCCGAATGAATTTTAGGACACAGTGATGATGTCAAATGCTTTTGCTGTGATGGCGGACTGAGATGCTGGGAATCTGGAGACGACCCCTGGGTGGAGCATGCCAAGTGGTTTCCAAGGTAACGGCTTTGAAATTCTACTTTACATGTTCTAAGGTTTTCATGGGATGCATTGTCCTGTAGAGTAAGTACGTTTTCGTCTTAAGCACTGCAGATCTTGATCTGTTTTTGTATGTATGAGTGCTTTGCCTACCTTACGCCTATGCACTGTTTGTGTGCAGTATCTGCAGAGGCCAGAAGAAGGTGTTGCATCCCCTGTGACTGCAGTTATAGAGGGTCTGAGCCAATTTGTGGGAGTTGGGAGTCAAACCTCCATCCTCTGGAAGAGCAGCCCTCTTAACTTCTTCTGAGTCATCGCTCTAGCCCTATTACTTCAATTTTAAACACTGTGAAGATTATAAAGAATATTCTCCTCTGGAGGCTGGAGAGATGGCTCAGAGGTTAAGAGCACTGGCTGCTGTTCCAGAGGACCTGAGTTCAATTCCCAGCACCCACATAGTGGCTCACAACCATCTGTAATGAGATCTGGTGCCTTCTTCTACAATGCAGGCAGAACACTCTGTACATAATAAATACATCTTTAAAAAAAAAAAAAGAAAAAAACTATTCACATAGATTTTCTTTAAAAAATGCTTTCCATTACTCTAGTTAATTTTTTTATGCTTTTTTTTGTTTGTTTTATGTGTGTATATTTTGTGAACATCAGAGAACAACTTTTGAGGGCTGGTTCTTTCCTTTCATCCTGTGGGATTGAACTCATGTTACCAAATTTGGTGGCAAGCATCCACTGAGCCATCTCGACAGGCCGACTGTAGGAGTTTGTGAAATCACAAGAGTAGCCCTGAGCCCGCCTCAGCGCTGTGGCGATTCTCATGTAATCTCGGGATTGGCAAGCTCACCAATAGAGGGTTGTGCTGAATGTCCCCACTCTGTCCCTCAAGGCTGTTGGCATGTTTTCAGACCATGCGTCGTCACGGGTGTGATAGCATGGCTTATGCAGAGAATGCTCTCTTCCATGTTGGCTTAAGGGTGTTTTTAGGAGCCTGAGAAGAACGAAGAGTGGGAGGAGCCCTGAGCGGAGGCTGCTGGGTGGTCTTGGCTTGAGGGCTGGGGGTTCCTCAAGACCAGACTTGACAGCACAGAGGCTACTTCTCCTCCATGACCATGCCTGTCGCTGCAGCCCCTTTCTCCTGTGCCAAGTCAATAGTGTGGCGCTCACGTGTGCGTTCAAGCCCCTGAGAAGTGTTTACCAGCCTACACATAGCTAGATTGGCTCCGCCCAATGTACTATAAACATTTCAGGATTTCCCAAATGTGGAGAGGCGCGGTATATCCTGGTAACAAAATTATACAACGTAAAGTGGTAAAGTTAATTTTATAAAGCAGCTGAAGTATATGAAAAGTACCAGTAGTCAATCAAATCCATCCTCACCTCAATGGGCAGCACCTAGAGCTCAGTGGTTACCACTCTTGGTTCTCAACACCCACATATCAGGCAGCCCACAACCACCTGCAATTTCAGTTCCCTGAGGACCGGATGCTTCTGACCTCCATGGGCCCTGCATTCACGTGCACAAACACACGCATGGACACGGGCTTTATACACAAGCAAACAAAATGAACCTTTAAAAGCGTCAAAAGGAAAACAGGCACACACAGCATCATCCTTGTAGCCTGGGCTTGCTTATTCTCCCAATGTTTGCGGATTCTGTCGCCTGGGTACCCAGATTTCACACAAGGTGGACACTTAGACATGAGTGTGTCATTACGTTTCACGTCACTTTCTAAAGATAAAATGAGTTCTTAGTCATAAAAAAGAGCATTATCAAGTTGCTTGTCGTGGCACTGCCCATTCTGCAGCCGGTCGTGGGAAACCTGTCTTGTCTTGTTAAGGAATGAATGCCCATGTCCTCTTTGTCTGCACTTTAGGTGTGAATACTTGATAAGAATGAAAGGACAAGAGTTTGTTGGCCAAGTTCAAGCCGGTTACCCTCACCTCCTTGAGCAGGTAGGAAAGGCTTCTGTGTTCTTTTCAATTATTGCGAGCCAACAGAGACATTTGTATTTATTTTTAAAGGGTTAGCTGTGTAGCAAATTATCTTTAAGAATCTGTTCGTAAAACAAATCACTGAGTAACATTTTAGCGGAAAGGTGAAAGGTGTCTTAAGGCAGGCCCTTGTCTTTTCTTCAAAGCTCAGCATTGCCATGTCGGGGGCCATTCTTGTGAAAGACAGGGCTTGTTGTATTCCTCTCTAAACATTTGTCTAACCCACCATCAATGAATTAAACTCTGAAGCAAAAAAAAAAAAATTAAATTTGAGGGGAGAAGTCTACCCTGTAAATTTTTTAAAAAGATTTACTTATTTATTTAGGCATATGATGTTCTGCCAGCATGCATACCTGCAGGCCAGCAGAGGGCACCAGATCACTATAGATGGTTGTGAGCTACCATGTAGTTGCTGGGAATTGAACTCAGGACCTCTGGAAGAGCAGACAATGCTCTTAACCTCTGAGCCACCTCTCCAGCCCCATACTTTCTTAAAAAATGATTTGAGAAAGCATTTGTTCCTGCTCCTTGGAAAAAGCAAATGGAAGCTTATTTTATAGTCTAAGCTTGAAGAACTTGCCAGCCATGGCCAGAGGAACCCCAACAGATGTGTGGATACAGCAGCTGCAGGTGCAAGGCCATCGTGTGGCCTCTCCTGAACCCAGCCTGTCCTACTCTGCGGAGGCTCTGTTCACTGCAGCACACCGCCCATCAGATGCTGTTAGCCTTGAGCCTTCCTCACTCAAACCCCTGGTGACTGAAAAAACGTCTTCCGTGTGGCAAAGTGGGTTTGTAGTGGGTTGAGTGAAGCAGCTCTGAGGGTCATTCCCAGTGCAGTGGTGGGATGCGGTTTACATTTGAACGTGTGTTTTCTTCCCATAGCTATTGTCTACCTCACACACCCCAGAAGACGAGAGCGCAGAGTCACCAAGTACGTGTCATGACCCAATGCGTTGAAGCGAGCCAGCTTGTTCTGAGAGTGATGGTGGCTGTAATGTGTGTGGCTGTAATCCAGTACTGGGGAGGTGGAGGTGGGAGGATTGGGTGTTCAAGGCCCTGTTGGACTACTTGGGGCGTTGTCCTAAAAATAAACAAAGGGTTGAAAGGTTGTAATGGTAAGTGCATATTCATGGCGATCTGCAGTTTATAATTAATACACCCTGTTACTACTGTCTGTCAGACGTCAGACTTGCTTCGAAAGCTAACAGTGTAGATGTCTAGTTGATGCTTCAGACCTCATAGACTGAATCAGTGTTTGGAGTGTGTGGCTTGGGTTCCTACGTAGAGTTGTGTGTGCTGTTAGTTTTTGATGGCCTCAGGCATGCCTATCCCAGCCTCTTTCACTAAGCTCCACCCCATAGTCCTGGGCATCTATACAAACTGCAGACATCCAGCCTTGCCCTGTTGGTGGGCCATTGTGGGAACAAATATACGGTGTCTTCAGTTGCTGGCATACTCCTCCTATCTATAGAGAGGGTGGAACATAGCGTTCCATCCTTTCACTGGGACCCCAAGGCTCAGTTTGCCAGTGTGACTTGCATATTACTTAAACCCAAGAGGGTACAGCAAACATTTGAACAGATCTTGACTCTGCTTTTTAGTGTTCAAGATAATACATTTTAATAATTTATTTATTTTTATTTTATGTGTTTTATTTGCATATATGTCTGTGTGAGGATGTCATGTCTCCTAGAACTTGGGTTACAGAGTTGTGAGCCGCCATGTGGGTGCTGGAAATTGAACCCAGTCCTCTGGGAGAGCAGCCGGTGCTCCTAACTGCTGAGCCAGCTCTCCAGCCCCAATGCAATACAATTGCTTGGATTTTTGTTCCAAACAAAGAGTAGGACACAAGATAAGCATGATTCCTATTGTCATGAGCTAATGGTTTTAGGGACATAGATAAAAGTTCAGATAGGAAAACATGATCTGGAGGAGAATGAAGAGACAGATAGGTAAGTCTGGAGACTTTCTGGAAGCCAGGTGTGGTGCGTGAGTCTGTACAGTACCTGCAATCTCAGTACTTGGAAGGCTAAGGCACAAGGGTTGTACGGGGAGTTCTGGGCCAGCCTGGTAGCCTTGTGAGGCCTTGTCTTAGAACAGCAGAACAGGGCTGGCAGATGGCTCAGTGCCTGAGTTCTAGGCCCTGGGCTCACATGGTGGACAGAGAGGAATTCTGCAAGTTGTCCCCTGACAACCCACATGCCATGGCAATCTCCCCCACCCCTCCAAAAGCCATAAAACAAACAAAAATTAAAGAAAAGGCTATCTGGAGAAGCAGCTATCTCAGCAGAGAGCCCAAGAGAACGGAAGCCTGCTAACTGTCAGGAAAAGCACACTCTGGGTGAAGAGCCCTAAGTGACGTGGAGTAGGGACTTTCCAAGAACTGGGTAAATTTTGTCTGGCTAAAAGGAGCAAGGCAGTAATTGTGCGGCGCTGATAGCCGAGTCTGAGCTGACAGCTCTCAGTTTGTGAGCTTCAGGGCCGAATGCAAAGACAAATGCGTGAAGCTGCTTTCTGGCATGGGGATGGCAAGGGCCGAGGCTGTGTGTAACCCACAGGGAGATTTTGCCCTGAGGTTAAGGGCGCTGAGTTTAAGGGGTGCAACCCCACCAGCTCTGCTTGTTTTAAGTTGCTGGGTTGTAGTGCTGAGTAAGCTGAAAGGGGTCAATATTCTAGGACACTGGGGTGATTGTACTGCATGGTAACAATGGCTTCTTTCAAAACTGTGAAAACGTAATAGTCAAGTTATGGATTGAGCAGAGGGTCTTCCCTGGCAGAGGGCTGGGTAAAGGCATACCTATTACCTCAGCATTTGGGAGGTTGAGGCACGAACCTTGGCTATATGCTAAGATTCTGTCTCCTGCAAAGAAAACAGAAAAAAAAAAAAAAAAGACATGAAAAGTATTCAACCATAACTTAAATGTGAAACCATGCCATTTGCAGGAAGTGGAAAGAACTAGAAATATCAAATCCATGTGTATATAAATATATTATGATAAAAACATTGTAAACAACTAATGGATGCCAATAAAGCAAACAAATATGTAGAATATATATTTGATTTGGAAAGCTTATTCATTTATTCCTCCATTGTCCAATATAGAAAAAGAGCCCTTTGATTCTAGTGGGATTGATCCCTGACATTCGGTTCTCCTGCCCTGGAGGCAGTAGTCATAGGCTTATATCTAAAGGCAGTAGTATTCCAAATTCTTAGTGTAGTGCCTATATGTTTTTCAAATTTTATGGCTTTGATATTGCAATAGCTTGCTATTTAAAAAGTCTATGTGGGTTTGTGCCTGTAATCCTAGCACCTGGGAGGCCGAGGCAGGAGAATTGTCATGAATTTGAGATCAGCTAGGGCTACGTAATAAGCTTGAGGCTCTACTGGGCTAGAAGAAGTCTCAGAACAACAGCCACAACAAAAATGTATACGGGCACTGCTAATGTCTGTTAAACTTCCCTTTCCATTCAGTTGTGCATTTTGGACCTGGTGAAAGTTCAGAGGATGTGGTCATGATGAACACGCCGGTGGTTAAGGCAGCTTTGGAAATGGGCTTCAGTCGGAGCCTGGTAAGACAGACAGTTCAGCGTCAAATCCTGGCCACTGGTGAGAACTACAGGACCGTCAGCGACCTCGTGATAGGCTTACTTGATGCAGAAGACGAGATAAGGGAGGAGCAGAAGGAGCAGGCTGCCCAGGAAGCAGACTCAGGTACAATCCACAAGGTCCTTCTGCGTAGAGCTGGCGTGTCACCCTGTGCGCAGAACACCTTCCTCTGTGCATACACAGCTCCTCTCTGTTTCTGATGGCTGTCCTCACTCGGGTGTAGACCAAAGCCGTGCTGACCCATGCCGCTCTCTTTCCCGAGCATGGACCACAGCCACAGCAGACCACAAAGCATACTCTCTCTCTTTTCCCTTTTGACTTTTGAGACAGGGTCTTCCTATGTCGCCCAGGCTGGCCTTGAATTCATGACCTTCTGTCTTAGCCTCCCGATTGCTGGACTGCATACCCGTACCAGACTAGCCTGGGTTAGAGCAGAATAAGACCTTGTCTCAGACAGGGTTAGTGGTGTAGGTTAATTGGTGGAGTGCTTGCCAGGCATGTGGGACACCTGTGTTTAACCCCAGGTGTAGTTCACACGCCTATAATTGTAACACCTTTGAATGGAGGCGGAAATTTAAGGTCACCCTTCCAGACGAAGTGAGGTTGAGGCTAGCCTGGGTTCCATGAAAAGACAAAACCAAATAGGAAACAAATGCCCATGTGTGACTGATCGTTTTTAAACTAAGCACCATTTCTCTTGTCCTTTTTTAAAAAAGGTTTTATTTATTTGCTATGGATTCAGTGTTCTGCCTGCATGTGCACTGCAGGCCAGGAGAGGGCACCAGATCTCATTCAAGGTGGTTGCGAGCCACGGTGTGGTTGCAGTTGCTGGGAATCGAACCCAGGTCCTCTGGAAGAGCAGCCAGTGCTCTTAACCTCTGAGCCACTTCTCCGGCCCTCAAATTTTGCTCTTCTTAACATGGTTCCACATCTGTCCTAGTGACAAATTCAACGCATCTAAAACATCTAAAATCTAATTGCCTCTCCTGAAGTAACTTTTCAGGACCCTAATATTAGCATTCATCATTTTATAGATACAGCTTTATGGTAGGAAATAGAACATTAATGATGAAGACAATAAAGTTACAACATAGCTTTATTGGCAGAGGGCCTGCCTCGCATGCCCAAGCCCTGGCTTTGACCCCTAGCATTTCATAAACCGGGCTTGGGGCCGAACTTCTGGAAAGCTGGCACTCAGGAGGTGATGGCAGAAAAATGACAAGTTTAATGCCATGGTGAATTGGAGGCCACGCTGAGATACAGGGGATCTTTAAATGAATACATATATGATTTCCTTCGTGTGTTATGTAGGTACAGAAAGAAGTGAGCGGAGTTTAAATCTTAAATCTCTCTTTCTCCCCATGAAGATGATCTGACATTAATCCGGAAGAACAAGATGGGGCTTTGTCAACATTTGACGTGCGTGATGCCGGTCCTGGATTGTCTCCTGAGTGCCAAGGCAATCACTGGACAGGAGTACGATGCTGTTAAACAGCAACCACTGGCCTTGCAAGCGAGAACACTAATTGACACTGTGCTGGCCAAAGGGAACATTGCAGTAACCTCATTCCGAAACTCCCTTCAGGAGAGTGACCCCGTGTTATACAAAGATTTATTTGGTAAGTGCTAGAAAGCAGTTTGGGGGAATGTTCCAGGTCAGTTGAAAAATCGGAGATTATTGAAAGTAACTCAGCCCAACTTCTACCTTTGTTGTTGTTAATATTATGAGGTTTCGTTCAAAGTGTAAAATGTTTGACTTTTCCTGGGAGGGCCTGGTGAGACGGCCAGCCCAGCAGGTAAAAGTGCCTGCCCTTTGTTTCAGTTAGGGTTTCTGTTGCTCTTACAAAGGGCACTGGAATGGGATAGCCCATTGTCATCGTGGTGGGACACAGCAGCACGCGGGCAGACACGGTGCTGAAGCTCAGAGCCCTGCATCTTGAACAGGCAACAGGAAGTGGTCTGTCTCGTAGGGAGTGGCTTGAACATATATGAAACCCGAGACCCCTTCTCCACAGTGACACACTTCCTCCAACAAGGCCACATATCCCTCTGGGGGGCCATTTTCTTTCAAAGGACCACACCCCATAATCCCAGCATAAATCTGATGACCTGAGTTTGATCTCACAGAGGAAGGAGAGAACTCCCAAAAGAGGTCCTATGGCCTCGCCATGCCCATTGTGGGACCCTGGGTGTATATTCTCTCTCTCTCTCACACACACAGACACTCATAAGTAACTAAACAAATTCACTGCTGGACATAGTAATACACATCTGTAACCCCAGCACTCAGGAGGCTGAAGCAGGAAGATTGTGAGTTCAATGCCAGCTTGGGTTATAGAATAATTCTGTGTCTCAAATAAACATTAGTACTAGGTAAATAAACTTTTGTAGAATGTATTGTGGGTTGTGAATTTGGCTCAGTGAGCCTGTTGGCCTAGCATGCATGCATCAGGCCCTGGGTTTGAAGACCGGCATTACAAAAAGAAATAAACAAAGCCCAATGTATAGCTAAATACAAGCCTTGGTTGCCATAGTAATACTGTTCTCTTTCCTTGCCCAGTGCGACAGGACGTCAGGTGTCTTCCCACAGATGACATTACAGGTAAGAGCACTAAAGCTTTAAACCTGCGGAAATCATTGTTTGATTTTTTGGGGGTTTCACTAGAGGAAAAGCAAATTGCTTTCCACTAAAAATTCTTTTTCTTGCCTCACATGGCATCATGGGACTAGCCAGCACTTGGAAATCGGAGGTGGGAGAGCCAAAGTGTGAGGTCACTTGGTTTCACAGAGAGACGTGTGTTTAAATAAGAACCCCCCTCTTCACAGCTCCGCCAATGGAAGAGCAATTGCGGAAACTACAGGAAGAGAGGACATGCAAAGTGTGCATGGACAGAGAGGTATCCATCGTGTTCATTCCCTGTGGCCATCTGGTCGTGTGCAAAGACTGTGCGCCCTCTCTGAGAAAGTGCCCCATCTGCAGAGGAACCATCAAGGGCACAGTGCGCACGTTTCTCTCCTGACGGGACTGGGACTGAATGGTCCACGGCCGAGACCCCGGTTCAGCATCACCCTCAGCTCCCTGTGGAACTCAAGGCAAGCCTGGACTACATGAGATACCACCTCAGAATAAACCAGTGAACACATGGACAAAGGGAAAAATGAGGGGAAAAGAAAAATGTTGCCTAAACCCAAGGAAGAATGGATGAAATATGTAACAGTGTAACTCTTATGCGGATTTGGGGTCTTTAAAAGTGCTATTTATTTCCAAGTCAGACAGCTGCTTTCTGGAAACGTATTTATGTAATACCTGTATCTGGAGCATATTTATGTACACATTCAGATGCCGAGAGATGGGGCTCTGCTCTTGACCCTGAAAAGCAGGCTGCCTACATTCCTGAAGTATTCAGAGGAGACTTACAATGCTGGCATTTGTAGTTCAGAATATGAAATCTTCTCAAATTGCGTTAAGAACTGGGAACACAGATTTTCTACTTGTTTTCTAAGTGTTTTATTTATTGAATGACATGTTAGGGATATGGGGTTTTTAATAAAGATTTTGTGAGGAAAAATTAATAAAGCAACAAAATTACTCTTGTTATTTATTTATTGAATGATACTGGCAGTTTAGCCGAAAACAGACCTCTGCCATGCTGTTTAAGAATTCTTAGATGATGGGGATAAGGAGATGGTGCAACCAGGGAAGTACTGGGCACAAAGCATGAGAACTGAGTTCAAATCCCCAAAGCCCCGTAAAGCCAGGTAGGGCAGCAGGACATCAGTCTCCAGGAATTAGCTCAATGCTTCCTGGTCTGGAAATGCATATAGAGTGGGAAGATGCTTTTGGTCTTGGGTTTGCCACTGTCCTCTCTCTGATTTATACATACAGTGTTCTGCCTGCATATATCCCTGCAGGCCAGCAGAGGGCACCACATCCATATCTAGTTACGGATGGTTGTGAGCCACCATGTGGTTTCTGGGACTTGAACGCAGAACCTCTAGAAGAGCAGTCAGTGTTCTTAACCTCCGAGCCATCTCTCCAGCCTCGCCACTATTATTTCTCGCAATGATGTTTCTTTCCCCTGTCATACATGAGTTTATCATGGAAGGGGAGAGGACCAAGTTTTCACAATATTGTCATCCACAGAGGGATCTGAAACGGATGTAAAAGGAAACTTGGTGACAGTTTACCCAAGGAGAGAAACGACAGAGGGGGGCCACCCTTCACAATCTTGCCATGCGTTTCTTGGAAAAGGTGTTCTAGTCTATGTTCAGGCACTTTGGAAGTCCCAGCAAGAGACACAAGCTCTCCCAAGGTGGAGGGCTCCTTCTTTTCCATGCGTATGCTTTGTTCTGAAGCACTTCCCTTTCCCACCCTTCCCTGCTCTCCCAGTGCAAGCTCTACTCTCTTGGAAGATGGAGGAATGGCTCCGTGGCTAAGAGGGCTTGCTATACAAGCTTGGAGGACCTGAGTTCAAATCCCTAGCACCAAAGTAAACCGCTGAGTATGGCTGTGCCTGCAACTCCAGTGTTGTGGAGCAGAGGATAGGATCATGGATGCTCTCGGCTCAGACACTGACCCTGTCCCGTGTCTTGGGTTGTAATCGCCAACATTCCCTCAGATAAATCTGTCCAGAAAAAATATATATAATTAACACAAGAAGCTGACAACAACCCATTCCTAGCAAAATATTATAAGACATTTATCCAAAACTGTTCATTACAATTGTTTGTGGAAGGTTGGAGACCACCCTAATGCCTATCAGTGGGAAAGTAACTGAATATACACTATTTCCTTAAGAAAACTCATTTTAGTATTTAATGTGTAATGTGGAGTTTGAAATTCATTGTCTCAAATGCTATACCACACACCCTCAGCCTAGAAATAACCGTTCAATTTTTAACATGGGCAATCTTTTAAATTTGCATGATCCTTGAGCCAGGTCTATGGTAATACTATCTTTTCTCTTTGGCTAGAGGAAACTGACTTTTTTTTTTTTGTAAAGAAAAGGTCACAGGCTGTGGTGGCACACACCTATGTTCCCAGAACTCAGGAGGCATAGGTAATCTTTGTGAGTTCAAGGACAGCCTGGTTTACAAAGTAAGTTGCAGGACAGGCAGAGCTGTCACACAGAGAAACCCTGTCTTACTATTCTTACTACTGTAGTCTCAGAGACAAAAAGTAACAAGGCTAGTTTGAACTCACTGTGTAGTCCAGGCTGGCCTTGATCTCGCAGCAGTACTTGGCCAGAGCCACTATCTCTGGCTCTTAATTGCTTTTTGAGTATATTGTGGTGTACTTAAGCCGTATATCACCAGCACCTGTAACATTCACCTCCATGTGTTAATACTGAGTAGACTCTGCACTTTATAAGTGGAGAAAGGCATACTGCTAAGAACTTGAAATTTTACTTTATTTATGTATTGTATTTTATGTATAATTTGCCTGATTGTGCATTGCATCGCTTGTATGCAATGCCCCCGGAGGCCAGAAGAGGGCGTGGAATCCTTTGGAACTCTAGTTACAGAGCTGTGAGCCATGATGTGGAATTTAGGAAATGACCAGGGTCCTCCTCTGCAAGGGTTTTTACTATTTCTCCAGCCCCTAGTTTTATTATACAACTTACGTTTCAGAAGTCTTTCCCGTCTTATTTTTTCTTCAAAATTATCTTGAATCGTATATTTTTTGTATATAAAGATAAAATGTCATGATAACTACCTCAATATGTGTGTGTATATACATTTATATGTAATCTCAAAATAACCAGCTCTATGGATAATTGGAAAAGTATTAGTTGAATAAACGGTCAACAAAAGAGATGATTGGACTCCAAAATTATATAGTATTTAAAAAATAGTAAGTTCTGAAGCGTCTGGATTTCGGTAATTGTAATTTTCCCACATACTTAAGTAGACTCACTATCTCGTGTTTTGGTCAGGACAAGAACTGAGAAAGAGACATTCTCTAGAATTCAATGTGCCCAATTCTTGCTAGAGTCCCACAAGTATTAGGAGTTTTTTTTTTTTTTTTTTTTTTTTTTGGTAAATTTCCGAGAAGTCGTGACTTCAACTAAACACTTGCATCCATGTGTGACAGTGTTTCCTCTCGATCACAGACTGACAGATTCTTTTTACTATCAACACTGCTGGCAGGCAGGAACTCGGGGAAAGGCGATGGGAAATGGTTCTGGGTCCTGGAATTTCCCCTGCTGCCTCATCTAGCGGCCGGCTACTTCTAGATTGTTGAAATGTTTGGCCCCTGGAGTTCCCCGGAGGGATTTGATTTCATTGGTTAATAACCCATTGGTCTAGCCCAAGATGAAATAAATCGCAATCCCCCGCCCCTCATCGCGGCGTGCACTTCTAATCCCAGCACGCAGGAGGCGGAAGTAGGGTGCTAAATCCTATGGGTCCTGTAGTAAAATCCTTTCTCAAAACAAAACAGAAAAACCTGCAAAAGCGAGCCCCAAACAACAAACACAACATCCGAACAGGGCAGGTGGCGAAAAGCACTGGGAAGTCCTTTGCGGTGTGCTAGTGCTTGGCGCTGGAGGGTGGGGGTGGGGGACGGCTTTTTAAACTTACTCTCCCCCAGTTTCATCACGCACAAACAACGCACCTTGATCGTACCCTGCCCGGCAATTCTATTGACGCTCACTCTGCACACAGCCCGCTCCCGGCCTTTCCCGCACGTTAGTGGCCCGCCGCCTGCATGCATGCATGCATTTAAGTATAACTGTCTCCCCGCACCGTCGGTGTGCCCGCCCGCCCGCCCGGGGGTCCTGGGATCTGTGCTGCGCCACACCAGCCCGTCCTACAGAGGAAAGGAGAGGAAGAATCCGCGTTGCACGCGAGCGCGAGCGCGGTCGGGCGGTCTTCCTCGGGCGTCCCTGGCGGGGCGAGGCGGGAAAGCGCCCGCCGCCACCGTCAAAGATGCAGCCGCAAGTTCAAACACAGGCGTGAAGCCCGACACCCCCAGCGGACGGACGGCGCCCGCCAGCTCGCCCCAGCGGCGCCCGCGCGGGCCCAGCCCCGTTTGGGTCCCGGGCAGCGGGGATGCGTGGCTTCGAAAACCCGAGGGCGCAAGCGCGAGCGCAGGCGCAGGCGCAGTCTCGGGCGGCGCGCTCGGCCCCACCCGCCGCGCGGGTGCGCGCCGCGTGACGTCACGGCGCGCCCGCCACGTCCAGCTGGCCCCGGGGGCTCTCGGGAAGGCTGCGGGTGAGCAGGCGGGTGTCGCGGCTTCGCGTGTCCTCCGGCTCCGCGGTGAGTGCGGCTCCCTCGGGCCTGGCGGCCGCCTTGGGCTGCGCCAAGCCGGTCCGGCCGGTGCTGTAAGAGCCCCTGCTCTCACGGCCGCCGAACCACCGCTCGCTTCCCAGCCCCCGGGCTTGAACTTGCTTTCCAGTTTGGCTTTCTTTCCCTTTCGGTTTATTTTATTTGTTTATTTTTTGAGTCAGCCCAGGCTGGGCTCCAGCTTGCGGCAATCCTCCTGCCTCAGCCTCCCACCAGGTGCCGGGCTGGTTAGCATGCACCACCACGCCCATCTCACCGGGTGTCAAGCTGACCGGCCGCGTTTATTTACAGCCTTTCAGCGGAGACAGCCGCGCGCCAGGGAGATCGCAGTCCTCCTGTGGGTTACTAATTGCGCTCTTTAGTGACGCGAGAAATAACTTCGTGGTTTAATGGGGCAACGTGCCTCCTTGCCTTTCTGCCCTGATGCGCAGAGAGCAGGCGCCGGCTGGGGAGGTGACACCTGGTGTGGTTAAGCCACGCGCGCGGTGGAAACCTTGTACCAGGCCAGTGCTCTACAAGCAATTGTCCTTTTTGCTTTTGAGATTTTTTTTTTTTTTTTTTAGCGGTGGTTGCTTTGGCATTGTTAGGGAGTGGTTGTCCTTAGTGGAATGCATTAATGAGCTCGCCCAGATACCTTGATCTAGGCCAGTTCAGTCCAGACCAGATCAACTGCTCTGCTGGCAGAGCATCTCATCCTGCCTCATGATCTTCCAAGTGTTCAGATTGAGATTGCAAACGGGCCTCGGGAATCTTTCTGTTCAGCTGCTTCTTCCTCCTTTTTTCCTCCTTTCTTTAGCAATGGCGATGATTAAACCCAGGGTCCTTTATCTGCAAGGCAAAAGCCCTAACAGCTGCACCAGCATCCCTGCAGACTTCCATTACCCACCGGTGCCTGTTGCCTCCAGCCAAGTGCCCTATCAGAATGTCTGTAAATCAGAAAATGAAAGGAGCCTGGCAATAGTGTGGTCCTAGCATTGGGAGGTCAAGACATGAGAATTCCAACACGTTTTAAAACCAACTTGAGTTACATTAACTGTCTAGCCAACATAGGTTACAGAATGAGGCCCTGTCCCTGCAAAGAATAACTCAAAAACAGATGCCCATGAAGCATGGTTCATTTTGTGTAACAATAAACAAGCAGTAAGTAAATCACAAATGTGAAATCGAGGACCAGTTTTTCTTCCTTGGTGAAAATGTCTGTTCACCTTCAAAGTTTCAGTTTTTAGAATGTACGGAGCTGTGAGTTTTAAAGAATAAGCATATTTAGTGCTCTGGGAAGTCTTTTGCAAGCATGTATTTTGATTTAGACCTTTTCTAAGTAGACTGGTTGGGTGAGAAACTGCTGTAGTTAGGATGTATTATCTAGAATGAGTCATTTTTAGATATTACTGGATAAATTAAAGAGGTCATAATTGATATGCAATTAGTTTTCTAAAAATATCTTTTTTTTCCCTTCTAGATTTACAGCGCTTAAGAGTCTCCATTCCTGTGTTTCCCTAGAAATAAACCTAGTCATGGAAATCTGATTTTTTTTTTTATAAAAAATCCAGTTTGAATAATGTGGAGTGTATTTTTGTGTATGAATAGTTATATAAATTATTAAGTTCTCAAAAGAGAAAGCTAGTTAGTATGGTACATTCGTGCAACAGGAATGCTGTGGTAAAACAGGATTGTTAGATACTTGTGGTAACAGAAGAGAGCTATGCCTTGATAAAGAGATTCATCCTTAATTATAACAGACGTAGTGAAGCTAAGATGGATTTTTAAAAATGCAGCCTACTCAAGTTTATGGACAAAATACTGTCTGTTGACAAGATACATTAAAATAATAGATCCAGGAAGAACTAAGGTAGTGACATACAAGATTTAACAGTTGAGATTAGTGTCAGTTTAAGCTTTAAGAAAATATCATACTGCTTACTGTGGTCTTAATAGGTGAGTTAACTTCCCCAGAGATTAGTATAAACCACTTTAGGAAATACTGTGATGATGAGCTGTGTGAAATTAGCTTTTAGGAAACGTGACCATGTGGGGAGTTTACTTACTTGTATTTGGTAGACAATAGAGTAGTTTGGACCTTGTATTAAAGTCCTTATAAGGGACTTTATATCTTGACTTCATAACTTTTAATGAAAGTAAATTATGGTTAAGTAGCTCTTGGGTTACCCAGAAGAGCTCATAAGATAGTCTTGAGTAGTGTAGTGTCTTGGAAAATGAGAATGATTTGGCCTATGTGAGGGTGAATCTCATATAAATTTGGTCAGGTGTAGTGAATTCCCCCAATTAGGGGCCTGCTATTCCATTCCTGTCTGTGGTAGAGATCTTACTCAGTGTGAAGTTGTGAGAAGCTGTCAGAAATATTCTCACTACTCAAAGAGTTGCCCAAGGTACCTTATGCCCGAATCCCACAAGTATAATGGAGAATAGCACAACCCTGCCAAACTGGACAAGAGAGAGCAAAGAAAAAATGAAGTACGACTTTTCGTGTGAGCTGTACAGAATGTCCACGTACTCCGCTTTTCCCGATGGAGTTCCTGTCTCGGAAAGGAGCCTGGCTCGTGCTGGCTTTTACTACACGGGTGTCAACGATAAGGTCAAGTGTTTCTGCTGTGGCCTGATGCTGGACAACTGGAAGCGAGGCGACAGTCCTGTGGAAAAGCACAGACAGCTGTACCCCAGCTGCAGCTTCGTCCACACCCTGCTGTCTGACAGTTTGCAGTCCCCATCTAAGGACACAGCTCCTGTGAGAAGTGGCTTTGCACATCCCTTACCTCCTCCAGAACGAGCTGTCACTCACTCCAACTTGTCCTCAGATCCTCTTAGTTCTGGAGCAGTGGAAGACTTGTCAAGGACAAGCCCCTGCAGCTATGCCATGATTACTGAAGAGGCCAGATTTCTTACTTACAGTATGTGGCCATTAAGCTTTCTGTCACCGGCCGAGCTGGCCAGAGCTGGCTTCTATTACATAGGCCCTGGAGACAGGGTGGCCTGCTTTGCCTGCGGTGGGAAGCTTAGCAACTGGGAACCGAAGGATGACGCTATGTCAGAGCATCGGAGACATTTTCCCAATTGTCCATTTCTGGAAAATTCTTCGGAAATGCAGAGGTTTAGTATATCAAATCTGAGTATGCAGACACACACTGCTCGGATGAGGACGTTCCTGTACTGGCCATCCAGTGTTCCTGTTCAGCCTGAGCAGCTTGCAAGTGCTGGCTTTTACTATGTGGGTAAGATGTAACATAGGCTAGAGTTCTTTTTACTTTGTTCATGGGAATATACGTGAGTCAGTTTCTTGTCTTTCTTCCTTGTTTAGATCGCAACGATGATGTCAAATGCTTTTGTTGTGATGGTGGCTTGAGGTGTTGGGAATCTGGAGATGATCCCTGGGTAGAACACGCCAAATGGTTTCCAAGGTAATTGGTTCTTTGTTTTTTTTTTTTTTGGTTGAAACAGGGTTTTTCTTTGTAGCCCTGGCTGTCCTAAAACTAACTCTGTAGATGAAGCTGGCCTTGAACTCAACAGCAATCTGCCTGCCTCTGTCTCCTGAGATGGAAGGCATTGGCACCACTGCCCAGCTTGGTAGTTGGTTCTTAGAAACTGATTATTGTGTGGGGGATTGAACCCAGGGCCTCACATCTGGTAGGCAAGTGCTCTACCGCTGAGGTATATCCCTAACCTCTTAATTTTTATTACTGCTTAAAATAAATTTAGGGGCATAGTTGTTACTGAAATAGAATTGGAAATTGTGTATTTGTAACCAATTAGCTATGTGAACTTGGACATCATTTCTGAAATAAATGGGCTTTGTTAGGAGTTTTTAATTAGGCTAAATTACACATAAAATATACCAATTTAGCCTTGTAAAATGTATTCTTGTGTAGCATAAAGTACATGTGTACTGTTCAACAGTCATGTCTAGAGCTGTTTCATCTTCTCAGACTGAAACCCTGTATCCCGTACACTTGCAAGCACACCCCAGCAACCAGCCTTTTACTTGCTGTATCTGAATTTTTTACTTTAGGTACTACATGTAAGTGGAATCATACAATGAAGAAAGTTTGGACTTGTGCATGCCTTCCATAATGATGAATCTGTTGGACCTCCTTCAGGAAATTACAAGGGTCTTTGATCATTTTTGTGTGATATATGATGAACAGGAATTTGGAAGTAGCAATATCTATAGTGGATCAATACATTGTATATGATGGGGTAGGTAGTGCACCCATGCCCATATGCCTTTAATCTCAGCACTTGGGTGGCAGTGGCATGCAATCTCTGTGAGCAGAGTCTGGTCTGGTCTACATAGCAAGTTCAGGTCAGCTCAGGTTGAGGTAGAAGGAGTCTGAGGTCAAGGTTAGCTTGGGCCACATAGTGAACCCCAGACCAACCCAGCTAGGTGGCAAAACCCTGTCTGGAAAAAACAGTAAGCAAAAAAAATTATTGTGCAAGGTAAATAAAATAGAATTTGCTGGTGGAGGCCACAGGACAACTCCCCTTCCACCCCATGTGGCTTCTGTGGACAGTATGCTGGGCGCCAGGCTTGGTGGCGGCAGGACTTTTACACGGGGCGCCATCGTGAAGGTCCCCAGAGTTTCTTTTATGGGTCCTGTTAATGCAGCAAATTTGACAAGTGATTTCAAAATGTTGTAGGCCTCATTGGATGCTGGTCTTTAAGAAAATGTTTGAAAAAAACCAACATGTTCTCTGTAATATTGCTGGTTTGAATTGAATCTTCACTGTTGAAAAATGTCATAATTTTAAATGACAACCATATTTGCGGACTTAAATATTATCATTTGAAATTTAACTGTAATATACAAAAGGCAAAAACATTCTAAATTCTAACATTTGAATTGCTATACTTTGTAAGATAAAATTCTTCACACTGTTTTAATGCCAAGGGAGAAGTCAGGAATGGTTTTTGTCAACGTAGCTCAGAACAGGTTTCAGCTGTGACTAATGTTTGAAGTTAGTAAAGACAGACAGACGACTAACAGATGGTCATTATTACTAGGTTCACTTATTTGTCAAATATTTAGGTGTGCTGTGGTCTGAGGGAAGAGTGGGGAGGGGCAAATGGGGGGCAGTCAGGACTTGCTATAACCATTCTGCTGGTCGGTTTCTGTCATTGACGCACTGGTCACCCTCCGTTGAGGATTGCCTCACTCACATCTTAAAGCAGTCTGCTATGTAAACTGATGATTGATTTCAGCTGCTCCAAAACCGCCTCTGCCCTCCCAGCATTCCATGGCTTCGGTGGCACTATATCCTTTTAAGTTGCATATTATTTTTCAAATGGTTAATTGTAGCTACAGTTATTTCTAACACTGCCTCTAATAGACAGTAGTAACCATAGTCATAGCTACAGTTATTTCTAACACTGCCTCTAAAAAACAGCTAGTAACCTACTCATAGCTACAGTTATTTCTAATACCGTCTCTAATAGACAGTAGTAACCATAGTCATAGCTACAGTTATTTCTAACACTGCCTCTAATAGACAGTAGTAACCATAGTCATAGCTACAGTTATTTCTAACACTGCCTCTAATAGACAGTAGTAACCATAGTCGTAGCTACAGTTATTTCTAACACTGCCTCTAATAGACAGTAGTAACCATAGTCGTAGCTACAGTTATTTCTAATACTTTAGTAGGACAGTTGTTTTTAGCACTGTGCTGGGCTAGGGTAGTACTGAAGATTGATTCTGGGCTTTGTTTTTGTTGTTGTTGTTTTTTTTTTTTTAACCTTTTTGTTAGAGTTGAATGATCTATACTCTGCATTATAGTGTGGAGACATCTGAAGATGATTATGTATTTGTCTTCACCTGTAAACTTTGTACTTTCCTATGCTCTCGAGAATTGCTCTTTGTATTCTTTCATTATAGCTTGTATCTGCCTTGTTCTCTTGACAGCACACTCCCTGAACATGAATATTACTTGCTTATCTGAAAGCAGGTTGTAAACACCTTACTCTTCTTCTTTTGAGTTGGTAGATTCTTGGAAAATTATTGTGTTCCTTTGTTGTTACTTTTTGTTTGTTTGTTTTGTTTTATTTTGTTTTAGTGGCTTGTAACCCAGCTTCTTAGGTTTTGTGACTGTGTTGAGCAAAGACTTCAGTTATGGGTGGGTGTGAGGGCTTGGACTTGTCAGGGGTATGGCAGGCTCTGACTCCTTGGGAAGCGCAGTGTCATAGTCTCCATGCAGCTGTGAGCTGAAGTCCTTGTCAGGGAAGGTTTTAGAGATTGTCAGTGTCTGGGCAGCATCAGTGCTTATGATCTCTTCAGTCATGGGAAACATCCTGGCCAATGGGACCCCTGTGAGTGTTCTCACAATGGTGGGGACAGTAGCACAGGGGTCTGTCATGATGACTGAGAGCCTGAAGAGCAGCCACAGAACCACCTGTGTGTGGAGAGCACTGACTGCTGCTGTACTGATGTCTGAGATGAGGATGCACACGTTGAGCATCTGGAGGACATGTGGGGCACAGGTGTGTGCAGGGCAGCTGTAGGGTTGGGGCTTGGGGACAAGAGCAGAGGACATACGGCAGGCTCTGACATGCAGGCTGCTCTGCAGCTCTGTGCTGCAGAGCATGGGCTCCTTGCTTACAATTGCAGCAACCCTCCTTTCTGCCTCCGGGTTCCTTAGCAGTAGTGGTGGGAACTGGCTGCTCCATGGGAGAGGAGAGCCTGCATTCAGTGCCAGTGCACACGACAGTGTTGCTGTGCACCTCAGGAAGGCAGTGCTTATCCCAAGGGTTTGGCGACCAGCGGCAAAGGCTCTGGGTTTCTCCCTAAAGCAGGCTCCTAGGTGCCATGATGGTGTCTGCCTGCCAGACTGCTGATGCAGGCACTCCTGAGCTCTGAGCCAGTGTCCTTGCTAAGCTGCTCCTCCCCATTGAGCCTTCTGTCTCCTCTCCCCACCCACCCCCTCCTTCCCCCTCCATGCTCTCCCCCCTCCTCCTCTCCCTCTCCCTCCCTCTCTCTCATCTCTGGTGATCCTGTTGGTTGACTTAGCTCAGTGTTAGCCATAGCATACTATTCAAACACACTTGTCTGTTTTCATTTTATGTTAGTTGGGTTATTGAGCCCTCCCCTGGGCTGTTTGTTCCTAGGACAGCTGTCTTTTTAAGTTTTGGCTTGTTGGAAACATAAGCAGGCGAGAACCTTTTACTTTGCCATCTTGCTGATAACATTCTTGCACACTCTCCTTTAATCTGAGTTATATTTGTTAATCCCACTGAATGACAATAAAGACCATGACCAAAATTCTTTGGTCAAATTAAGCAAGCTTTATTTTCTGTCAGTCATGCTATTCCCTAAAGTGGAGTCTGAGAAAATAGCATTGGACTCGGGAGAATGTCTGGTTTATATAGTCCCCAACTGTCTGACTAGGGGGTTTTCAAGGGTCGGAGGATTTCCAGGGGAATTTTGGTTATGTAGTAACATGGCTACCATTTTTAAATTATTTGGCAGAGCATCTGATCTCATCAGGGTACATTCAAGGTGTGAGTCAACTCCATGGGGTGGGAGCATGGCAAATTCCAGAAACAGGTTAAAGCGCTTAGGTCAGCTTGGACTTTGTAGCAAACAGTAATGATCTTGTAACAAAATGGCTTCCATCCTTAAGATGGACTCAGACTGGTCCTTATCTAAAAGTTCTGTTTTTGGATATTGAATCCTGTGGGCTTCTGCATGCTAAGCAGAGGCTCTGTATGTGATACAGCTATACTGTCAGGCTTCTTTATTTTGTTTTAATTTATTTTTACCATATTTATGTGTGTGCCTTAGTTAGGGTTACTATCTCTGTGATGAAACACCATGACCAAAGCAACTTAGAGAGGAAAAGGGTTATTTGGCTTCTGCTTCCATATTTCTGTTCTTCATCAAAGCAGCCAGGACAGGAACTCAAACAAGACGGGAACCTGGAGGCAGGAGCTGATGCAGAGGCCATGGCAGACTGCTGCTTACTGGCTTGCTCTTTATGGCTTGCTCAGTCTGCTTTCTTATAGACCCCACGACCACGAGCCCAGGGAGGCCCCACCCACAACGGACTGCACCTCCCCCATCAATCCCTGTTTATAAAAGTGCCTTACAGCTGGACCTCAGGGAGGCATCTTCTCAACTGAGGTTCCGTCCTCTCAGATGACTTACTTTTGTCCAGCACAGTGTGTGACCACTGCATGTGGCTGTGTGCAGAGTGTCAGTGCCCAAGAAGGCCAGAAGCATTGAGTCCCCTGGAACTAGAGTTATGTCTGTAAGTGAGCCTCCTGCCAGGGGTGCTGGGGACTGAACTCGGGTTTTCTGTAGGAGCAGCCAGTGCTGCTGAGCACTGAGCTGTCTCCAGCCTTCCTTCCAAGCTTCCTGTGTAAGAGTGTGCTGACAGAGGGAAGGACAGGGTGACTGTCCTTACATTGAGGGATGGGTCATCTGTAGTTTAGTTTTGCATGTAGCACGGGCATAGATTGAGATTTTTTGTCTTTGTGCTTTTAAAGAAAATTTTATATGGATATCTAGTTTAGCCTTTGTTCGAAAAGGAATGGGGTGGCAATGAATGTTACATGAACTTCTCTCGAGGAGTTTTAGTAGTTTACATATTTGAGAAGCGTCTGTGGAGATAAAGAACCTGAGTATGTGTTTCCTGGAGGGAGTGTGGTGGGCTGTATTTCAAGATAGGAGAGTGAGCTCTGGAGCAGGGTTGGCAGTTACTGTATTGTGAACAATATACTTTAATAGGTAATGAGTAATAGTTTTGAAATAGTGTTAAGCACAAAAAAGATAATGTCTGTAACATTGTTTTCCATAAGCCAACTTTTGCCCTTTCTGAGTCTAGAATTTTTCTTTGTTGTGTGTAAATAGGAGATAGAAAAATAATGGAATGCATGAACACAGTAAAAATATTCTCTTAGATATGTATGTCTACTAGGTTGTGATGTGACACGTTTGCTGTGCGATATAATCAAGAAGATTTGAAAGTCACTTTTCTAGAACAATCAGCTTATTTTTGATATGAAATAATTTAAAATCGTTTTTGTTTCACATTTTAGGTGTGAGTTCTTGATTCGGATGAAGGGGCAGGAGTTTGTTGATGAGATTCAAGCTAGATATCCTCATCTTCTTGAACAGGTAAACTCATTCTTCAAATTAACCCGAGAGCTGGGGAGGTGACGGTTTGGTAAAGTGTCTACTGGGCAATATGAAGCCCTGAGTTTGGATCCCAGCTCTGTTAGAAAGCCGGGCGTGGCAGCATGCATTAGTAAACCTAGGGTGTTGGAGACAGGGCAGTCCCTGGAGCTCTCGGGCCAGATAATGTAACCATTCACTCAGTCCCAGGTTGTCTTAAAAACAAGGTATAGAACTGTACCATTGTCCTCCACATGTATGCACATGTAGTTGCGCACACCCATGTTAACAGGTACATACACGCTATACATAAACAGAACTATAGCATTGGACTATGCTATGTAATGATGATTACAGAAGTCTTAGAGTGACATTGATATCTGTTTTATTAGTTCTGTTTACAATTTTTTGGGACAAAAATTGGGGTTTATTAACAAATTCTCATAGTGATTTTAAGCACTGTAGTTAAGAAAAGAAATGTGCTTAGAAAGATACACCTGGGTTGTGAGCGTCTGCTTACACACCTGGGGTTGTGTGTGCTTACACACCTGGGGTTGTGTGTGCTTACACACCTGAGGATGTGCGTGCTTACACACCTGGGGTTGTGTGTGCTTACACACCTGAGGATGTGCGTGCTTACACACCTGAGGATGTGCGTGCTTACACACCTGGGGTTGTGTGTGCTTACACACCTGAGGATGTGCGTGCTTACACACCTGAGGATGTGTGTGCTTACACACCTGGGGTTGTGTGCTTACACACCTGAGGATGTGCGTGCTTACACACCTGAGGATGTGCGTGCTTACACACCTGAGGATGTGCGTGCTTACACACCTGGGGTTGTGTGCTTACACACCTGAGGATGTGTGTGCTTAAAAGAACTACAAAGTTCAAGTTACATGCCATGGTAATGGCATCCTTGATAGTTTTTTTGCTAGCTTGCTATTCAGGCTTCTTTATAAATATTGTTATTTACTTATACTACTTTGAAAAATCTTATATCCTACCAGTGTACAGAATTTTTTCTTAAAAATAATAATAATAATAAACAGTGGGGTTGAAGACCTATCTTCATTGTCTCTAGTCTTTTCCAGAAAAAACAAACAAACAAAACAAAACAAAGGCCAAAAACCTTTTTAGGAGTTACCCAAATGAAATACTGCTTTTTGAATGGGATGAGGAGCCACTGTTGTATCTTCATCTTTCTTCCTCTGAAATGGAAGATACACTTCAATTCTAACTTGGATGTCGATGAAGTGTAAGCATAGTTGTGTGATAATTATGGTGAAATAAACCAAGTATACTTATGTATTATTTATTTTAGAGGTTTGGGACATGCAGCTGAGGCAAGTCTTAAACTCATCTCTCTTCGTAGCCTTCTGAGGGCTGAGCTTACAGGCCTGTGTGAGCACACCTGCCTTAAGTGAAGTGTCTGAGTCACCCAGTTTCCAAAAGGGTGTGTGCATTCACTTAAAATAACTGTTGTTGTTTGCTTGGGTGTGGAGGCTCACCCCTTCATCCCAGTGCTTGGAAAGTTGAGGCAGGAGGATTGCCATGAGTTCTAGGCCAGCCTCCGCAACAGAATGAGACGCTATCCTACAGCAAGGCAAATCCTTGTCTGTGCTGTCTGAACTGTGTGAGGTTTCTGATTTTCCTGTGATGTTCTCTTATTTCATAGCTCTTGTCTACTTCAGACACCCCAGGAGAAGAAAATGGAGATCCCCCAAGTAAGTCGGGAAACATTTCAAATACAGCTTGTGCTTTTGTAAGAATGTTAAGAATGAAAGTATATTAGAGGAAGCCATATGGGAAACTGTGGGATGTTAACTAGAAAATATATGTGTCTATTAAGATTTGTGACGTTTAAAAGATTCTGAGACATTTATTGGTCCTTAAGTGCTGATACTTCATATGAGGCAACAAGACACACAGAAAGCAAACTCCCTGAAGCCATGTCACAGGAAAGGTGTGAACAGACCTTTAGGGAGGAGGCTGCTGTTGAGTCTGCTAGAAAAGACCGGGTTACAGTTGAGTTGTGAAGGGGCTGGATGCTAGGCATAAAGGCAGGGACAGTAACAGTGCAGGGGCTGTGGATTGGAGCTGACTTTTAACCACATCTCAGTAGTTGTGGTCTCCATGTGTTGTGGTCCCCAGGGTAGTTGAAATAACTGTCACTAGATGTGCTAATTACATCCAAAGGGGAGTACTGGTTTTGGCTCATTATTTCAAGGGAAGCATTGACAGCTTTGTGGCTGGAACAGAGGAGGAGGACCAGATATAGAAAAGTCATAGAAACCATGACTCAGCAGTAGATAAGGCTCTTGGTCATGGAAACTGCGACTTTGTACATAGTGCATAAGGGACTTGGTCAGGAAAGAAAGGAGTACCTAAGTGAAGTGATGGATAATAGCTGTTCTTATTTAGTGTTTATTTAGATTGGTGCTGAGGCTAGAATCCAGGGCCTTATGTATGCCTGGCACTTTCTATACCATGCTACGCCATACCACACCACACTATACCACACTGCTGTGCTACACCGTGCCACATTTCCAGCCTCTTAAGATCTACATCTTATGCCTGGCATTGGTGGTGCAGCCTTTAATCCCAGCATCTAGGAGGCAGAGGCAGGAGGATCTCTGTGAGTTCAAGGCCAGCCTGCTCTACAGAGCAAGTTCCAGAACAGGCTCCAAAGCAATACAGAGAAACCCTGTCTCGAACCCTGCTCCCCCACAAAAAAAAAGATTTACATGTTTTGTTTATAAAATCACTTTGCCAGTCTTGAGAATGACTGTTGTACATTTTCTTTCTTTTCCGGTTTCTGTTTTTAATTTACAAAATTCTTTTTAAAAGGATGTGTGAAAGATTGTGTGCATGTGTGTGTGATGTATGTTTGGATATGCATGTGCCACAGTGCCCATGTAGAGATCAGAAGACATTTCTCAGGAGTCCGTTCTGTCTGAGCCCTACGTGGGTTGTGGGGTTGTTCTGGCCTGCCTGGCAAGTACTTCTCCCCTCAGCCATTCAGTAACTCTCGCTCTCCCCACAGTTTTCCTGGTTCACGCATTTCACTGAGAATGCAGCGCAGCCATTCAGTAACTCTCGCTCTCCCCACAGTTTTCCTGGTTCACGCATTTCAATGAGAATGCAGCGTGATGTTTTACTCTTTTGGCTGTTTTGAGGAGCCTACCAACCAACTCCCAAATAAACCCACAGAGGCTTATTCTTAGTTAGGAATGCCTGGCCTTGGCTTGGCTTGTTTCTTGCCAGCTTTTCTTGCTTCTGGGCTTTTCCTTTTCTTACTTCTGGATATCTTACTTTTACTCTGTGGCTGGCTGGGTGGCTGTCTCCCTCCCCCCCAGTCTAAAAAACCAAAGAGTAAAAGTGAAAAACATACAACGAAGAAAATAGAAGTGTTTTCTCTTTAAAACCACCTTCCTCTGCTTTTATTTATTATTTCCCCTTTACTCATCTGCTTTTGATACAGGGTCTCATAATATGGCCCAAGCCGGCTTTGAACTTTGGATCCTTTCACCTTGGCCTCTGAGTGCTCTATTACAGGATGTGCCACCGTACCTGGCTTCATCCTCGGGATTATGTCCCCTGCTGCTAATTTGTAAACATTGTCATGGGCACCAGAACCTGCAGTATTAGCCGATCTCTTGCTTACCTGACAGCTGGCATTTGTTACGCTTGAGTGCTGCTTTTAGCGGTGTGTTGTGCAGTACTCTTAGCTGCCCTAAATTTGAGATCCCTAGGGCTTTTAACTCCCCAGTGCTGGGGTAACAAAGTCACTCCAGCACATGACTTTTGTCCTCAGCACACCCTTTTGGTTGACTTTCCTAATGACATTCTCTTGGGCTTTTCTTGTTCTTCTGTTGATTCTGAGCAGTTTTCTTTGCTAGCTCCTCTTTTTTTTTTTGGTTCTAAGATAAGGTTTCTCTATACAATAGTCCAGGCTGTCTTGAAACTTGCTCTATAGACCAGGCTAGCCACAAACTGTCAGAGATCTGCTTGCCTCTGCTTCCCGAGTGCTGGCATTAAAGGTGTGGCCACCACCACTTTGTCATATTTCTAAGTGACAGACTACATATGACGTGTTCTTTATGCTCAGGTCAGATGGGTGCCAGGCTGCAACGCTGTTACCTGCTTAAATTTCAAAGTGCTTCCATTTTTGGCTAACGTAGCTGTTTGAGTAAATATGCCAGAGCACAGAGCACACAAGCTTCCTGTGTTTGATTCCTCAATGCTCTCACCTTCCCTTCTGAGTTCATAGCATCCGGCCCAGATCTCAGAATGTCCAGCTGCTCACTCTCTACCCACTGCCTGCCTCGCGCATTCTACCCGATCTGTCTGTGCAGCATTTCCAGTCACGCTGGGAATAGCCCTCTGCTCAATAGCCTCCTGGTGTGTTCTAGCAAACTTAGGCTGATGTAGACAACATTCCTACAAAGCTGGGTGCCGTTGTCTGCTGCCCTCACCATCTACTCCCGTCTTTATTTCTTGACCATGCCAAACTTTTATCCTGCTTAATATCTTTCCGATACTCCCGTCACTTACTTTATCATTTCAGCTTTCGGGGTTTATTTATTCTTCATGTTATTTTCTGGAGGAGGTGTCAGGGGTTGAGGCTGGTTTGGCCACTTTGGACATGCCTTTGGGAAGTTTGCTTTCCACATTTTGACATTGGGTATCTGTGTGTTTATTGTAGCTGTCTCCAGCAGATGGCAGGACTCTATTCAGCTCTGTTCAGGCTGTCATTACTTTTGCTTATTTAACTATGTGTTTTCATTATATCTTTCTGCTTCCCATCCTTGTAGTTTTCTCTGACTCACTTATGTGCCTGTTTAGACATTATTCATCATGCAGTTCTGATACACCTCCCCATTAGTGTTGGGAATTCAACCCAAGTGTTTCAAGTGTGCTTGGCAAAGACTCACCACACTGTGCAAGGCCCGAGCCCCACACCTAACCCTTTACAAGGGAAGGGAGATGTAGGCATGGTTGCTAGAAATGGAGTTCTCAAGCATGCCAGACAAGCCCTCTGCTGAGGCCACACCCCATTTCTTAATATTTTTTAATGTTCTTTTTATTTCGCTATCAGCCAAAGGCTAGGTAAGCATTGTACTGAGGAGCTGTCCCCCCATGTCAGCACTATGTCCCACTGTTTAAATATTATTTTTGTGTTTCGAGGGGTAGCTTGTTAAATCTTGTTTGTGAGTGTCATGAAAGGACCCACGACTTTGTCTTTTTATTGTGTGTAAGAGAGACACACCCAGCAGAGGGTTAATTATTTCAGGAATCACCCTCCTGTGGGTTTCAGGAATTGAATTTTGATAGGCTTGTGCAGAAAACATGTATACCGTGAGCCATCTTGCCTGCTTGATTTTTGAAAAATTTAAAAAATATGTATATTACTGTGTATGTATGGGTACACATGCCACGCATGACATGTGTTAAAAGGACAGCTTTGGGGACTGCAGAGATAACTCTGGTTAAGAGCACTGGCTGCTCTTCCAGAGGACCCAGGCTCAATTCCCAGCACCCACATGGCAGCTCACAACTGTTTGGGGCTCCAGTTTCAGGGGATCTAATACCCTCACACCGACACATGCAGGCAAAACACAAATACACATAAAATAAAAGTAAATAAATCATTTTTTATTTTTTTAAAGAGGAAAACTTTTGGGAGTTGGTTCCTTTCTCCTACCCTTGTGAATTGAACTTACGGCAAGTGCCTTTACCACCCAGCCATCTCACAACACTGGTGAGATTTTTAGTAGATTCCTGAGCCTATTGACAAGAGACTGTTTTTATTAAGTACGTCTGATGTATGCACTGTAGGAAGTAATTTCTTAAGTTCATAGTACATTGTTAATTTAATTTAATTGGTACCTATGGTATATCTCCCTTACTAGGATATGAGATTAGAGGTGCTGCGGTCATTATTTTCCATAGTTTTAACTTTGTGGAGTTTAATATTAGTAAATTTGTCTGCAAGCAGTTGTGCATTTTGGACCTGTCGAAAGTTCAGAAGATGTGGTCATGATGAACACGCCTGTGGTTAAGGCAGCTTTGGAAATGGGCTTCAGTCGGAGCCTGGTAAGACAGACAGTTCAGCGTCAAATCCTGGCCACTGGCGAGAACTACAGGACCGTCAGCGATATTGTCTCAGCGCTTCTTAATGCTGAGGATGAAAGAAGAGATGAAGAGAAGGACAGACAGACTGAAGAAACGGCCTCAGGTATTGCAGTGTTGGTGGCTACACAGTGTGCCAGTTACATGTTACATAGCAGCACCCTTGACTCTGTCAGTCTCAGGCTGGCTTCAAATTCGGTCTGTAACTAGTCTTGTCCTTGAACTCCAGAGCTTCCGGTGCCTTTGGCCAAAGTGCTGGGCTTACATACATATGCTAGCATACCTCAATTTACAATAAACTTTCTTCTTGAGCTATACTGCATTTCTCCTTTTTACATAGCTGAATTTTAAAAAGCATGATTTAAGGGTTAGAGAGATGGCTCAGTGGCTAGGGACTTTTGCTGTCCTTGCAAAGAGCCTGAGTTTAGTTCCCATCATCCACGTGGAGTTCAGTGTCCTGTACTCCAGTTCCAGGGTATCTGATACCCTCTTGCAACCTTTGCATGTACCTGGTACACACACACACACACACACACACACACACACACACGGTTTAAAACTGATTCAGAGCTGGTTGTAGGGGAGCGTGCTGAGTTCCTACCGTCGTGGTGTTCAGGAGAACGAGGCGGGAGTATGCTGAGTGCAGGGTCAGCCTAGGCTACATAGCAAGAATCTCTTTTTAAAAGATTGAGATATTTCTACTTTTTAAATAAAGTTCCTTCAAATCTGGTTTCTAACGTGGTATTTTATTAGTAGGTATTGACTTGTTAGGTTATCCTTATACCAAAAAGTCAGCTTAAGATGATATCTTGGGTTATGATCCTTTGTCTAACCTGAGGACGATATATAAATGATTTTGTATTTGTGAAATTTTTTTCACATCCTAACCTCCCACCTCTTCTGAGTAATTACATTTTCAACAAATACTTTCATATGTTAACAGCAGGCGTAAATAATGTAAAAGTACTGAGTTTTCTCATGGAGCGTGTAGACCAGCTGGGAAAACTAGGTTCAAAAGACAGAATCAGAGAGTTAGCAGAGGGCCTTCAGGATGACGTAGTGGGAAAGGGTGACAACCTCAGTTCAGTACCTGAGACACACATAGGAGGACAGAACCTGCTCCTACAGGGTGTCCTCTGACTGCTGTTATGAATGCCATAGTACACACACACACACACACACACACACACACACACACACACACAAAACACACACAACACACACACACTCATCCACACACCACACACACTCACACACACACACACTCACACACACAGAACACTCACACACGCACACAACACTCACACACATACACACAACACACACAACACACAAACACAGCACACACACACAGCACACGCACGCACACAACACACACAACACACACAGAACACTCACACACGCACACAACACACAAACACAGCACACACACAGCACACTCACACACGCACACAACACTCACACACATACAACACACACTCACACACACAACACACACTCACACACAACACACACAAACAGCACACACACAGCACACAACACACACACAACACACACACAACACACATTCACACACACACTCACACACACAACACACAAACACAGCACACACACAGCACACTCACACACAACACACACACAGCACACTCACACGCACACAACACACACATTCACACACTCACACACGCACACAACACACACAACACACTCACACACGCACACAACACACACAGCACACTCACACACAACACACAAACACAGCACACACACAGCACATTCACACACACACAGCACACACACAGCACACTCACACACGCACACAACACACACAACACACACACAACACACTCACACACACACAACACACAAACACAGCACACACACAGCACACACACACAACACACACACAACACACAAACACAGCACACACACAGCACACTCACACACACACACTCACACACACAACACACTCACACACAACACACTCACACACAACACACTCACACACACAACACACAAACACAGCACACACACAGCACACTCACACACACAACACACACATTCACACACACACTCACACACACACAACACACACACACAACACACACACACACTCACACTCCAAAAAAAAAGAGCTATCAGAGATGTGAAGGTTGTGTGTGTAATGTAAATTGAGATATTAGGTTACAAAGCACTCTTGTCCTTTAATAAAGGTAGAAATAGTTCAGCCCAATGAGGCACTTGCTACCAAGCTGAGTTTGATGCCCAGGACCCATGTGGTAGCATCCCCACCCCCAACCATATATCAAAATGTTTCAAATTCTAACTTTTGGATTGAGACAGATCTGCATTTCAGTTCTGGCCTTTTTTGGTTAGTAAGTAGGCAGCTCATTCAACTATGCTTAAGATTTCTTACCTCTAAAGTGAGGTAGTAAGCTGTTATGAAGCTTGATTCAGTTTTTAAAGCTGCACAATACATTTAGATATATAAGATGTACCAGGTATTGCACTGCATGTGTGTTTTATTGAACTCTTTAAGGAAGGTGCTGTTATTCATATTTCAGATCGGGAAGCTGAGGTGTCTAGCTGGGGGACATGCTGAAGTGGCTAGACTTGCCTTCAGGCCAGCAAAGTTCCATCTTGACTTGTTGCTTAAGGTTTTGAGTGCTGTAGTCCATAGATGGTGTGGCGTCTCAGAAAGGACATCAGCACTGTGTAAACCAGGCGCGGTGGTTCATGCCTGTAATCCCAGCACTTGGAAGGGCCGTAGTCATGAGGATCAGGGCCATCCTTGGCTACATATGGAGCCTGGATAAGGTCCTGCCTGAGTAAATAACAAACCTCAAAAGTCAACTCATTTAGGACTGGTTTGGCAGCTCATTTTGTTGACTTTGAGAAGCCGCTCATGCTTCTGGCCTCCTCTCTGGAAGATAGGTGGCTTATTTAATCGGCATTTTGAATGTGACAGTTTATATGCCTGTACTTACAACCGGTAAAGAAATATGATGCAGATAAAAATGAATTAGTCTTTAACTCCGTGGTGGGGAAAGAGAAAGAATAAGAGGGCACATGTTTTCCTACTCTAAGTTCTCTGCTTGTTCTCCACAATCGGAAGGCGTGGGTCTGGGTCCGTCAGCGTTTGGACGTGAACGTGTTTGTGCAGTTTTCTCTTTCAAGTCCAGTTTAGTGCCTGATTTGTGCATAGGATTGGTTGGGTATCCTTGGAGGCCTTTGGAATTCAATGGACCTTTTCCTTGCTTGTTTTTAACTAAGGTGATCTGTCATTAATACGGAAGAATAGGATGGCTCTCTTTCAGCACTTGACGTGTGTCCTTCCTATCCTGGACAACCTTCTTGAGGCCAGTGTAATTACTAAACAGGAACATGACATTATCAGACAGAAAACACAGATACCCTTACAAGCAAGAGAGCTGATCGACACTGTTTTAGTCAAAGGAAATGCTGCAGCCAACATCTTCAAAAACTGTCTGAAGGAAATCGACTCCACATTGTATGAAAACTTATTTGGTGAGTTTGTTAGGAAAATTATTTGGATACCCATAGGGTTTTGGTCATCTCTCTGTTGAGCAAGCAGAATAAATCTAGTAAACTGTAATCTTTACATTTTACCTGTTCCAAAAATTGTGGTGTATTTTACTGTCTAGGTAGTATTCTTTTATATATATCTCAAAGAATATATATATATATATGTATATATATATATATATATACACACACACACACATATATATATATAGCAAAAATCTACATAAAACAGTAGATTTTAAAAAGTATTGTATTGATAATGATTTTTGTGTGCTTTCTTTTTTCAGTGGAAAAGAATATGAAGTATATTCCAACAGAAGATGTTTCGGGTAAAGTACAGTTAGTACAGTTCGGGTAAAGTAACATTATTTCTGTTACTTTTTAGAAGCTGCATTTTACTAACTCTTTTTCTGTTCTTAGGCTTGTCGTTGGAAGAGCAGTTGCGGAGATTGCAAGAAGAACGAACTTGCAAAGTGTGTATGGACAGAGAGGTTTCTATTGTGTTTATCCCTTGTGGTCATCTGGTCGTCTGCCAGGAATGTGCGCCGTCCCTCAGAAAGTGCCCCATCTGCCGGGGTACAATCAAGGGGACTGTGCGCACATTTCTCTCATAAGTGAAGAACGGCTTTAAAGTGTTGCTGGGCACCAGAAGCCATCTGAACAAAGAGTGGATTCCCGATTCAACCAGGACATGCATGTCTGTTCTCCTTCAGAGTTAATGATCTTGCTCCCTGAAAGGTAGTATTGTGTGTTTACTCTTGATGTGTTTAGTGGAAAGGGAAGGTCTGTGCTTGCTGTGTCAGTCAGGAGTTACTGGGTTCATGTGACGTGGGGCTCAGAAACTCTGGAAACAGTAGCCCTGGCACTAAGCAGTTAGGATGCCCCATGCATCTTGGTGCTTTTACCTTCTGGAAAATAAGGATTTTTCTGTTACTTGGTAAATAAGATTCCCCCTTCTTGTGAGAAACATATTAATAAAGTGTTTTTTTAAAGGCTTACATCATCACAGTGTATTTCCTATCCTGATTTAAAAGCAATTTTCATAAGACTTTGTTGCACTCATTTGCTCTTAGGCTAAAAAAAATGAATTCATGAAACAAATTATTAAAGTGTTTCTAATAATGTCATTCATGAGAATTTCTTTAGCTAACAAACTTGTATGCTCTACAGATAAAGCATATTCATCATTATCAAAAGCTCAGATAACTCTACCGAAGAATTTACGTGAAACAGTGTGCTTGCCTGGTGTGGGTGCTGATGGGATTGGGGAATAGGATGCAGGCAGTGATGAGTAGTGCCGCCTTTGTGGACCAAACCACACATCACCTGACCGGGATGTAGGTGGGAGGCAGAAGCAGGCGGATCTGTGATTTCCAGGACAGCCACAGCCACACCCATCTCATCTCAAGTGGATCTTCCTACTTCAAATAAGCAAAAATCCCTCACTGGTGTGTCCTCTATTTTTTTGGGTTTTAGTTCATTCCAGATGTAGTCAACAAGAATAGCCATCATACCCTCCATTTTTTTCTTACTCCACAAGGTTAGGGTTTGGACAGAAGGAAGATGGGTAAAATCTTTACCATCCATTTTTCTTTTGGAAATGTTGCCATCCTGTCCTGATACTTTGTAAAGAGTTGTTTCCATTTATGTTTGTTTCTTCTCTACATGTGTGCTGTGCAATTGGTCTACAGAGGATGTTGTGTTGTAAGAGCAGCAGACACTTAATTCCTGAGCCATTCTCCAGCTCTGTCAGGATACATGTATATAAGGATAAGTCAGTGGCACTGCCTAGGTTCAAACCCTTGTGTTAGCAAGAGAAAGTCTGTCCATACACCGTGGGAGAAATGTAAAGAAACTTCTACATCCTGAACCATAGTGGGTCTCAGACATTCCTGGACCTGTTATGATTTCTGATGAGGCTTTCATCTTTCTCAGGAAATAAAATCAGAAGTTTGTCAGTCAAGCAACCCAGTTAGAGTTTACCCCAAGTTGAGAAGTCAGTGTGTGCCAGGCCATTGGAATTTTATCTTAGACTTTGCTATTATCAGACAAAATCAAGCCCTCCATGCTCTTCTCCTAAATGGTAGCCAGTCCTTTTAGAACTTACTATTTCTTCTGGCTAGTGTGCCGTGAGGATCCACTGTGTGCCAAGCAGCTGAGCCGTTCTCTGGGCTGCATTTTGATGGTGGAGCTTATAATATAGTAGCTGAGAATGCAGTTGTATTTGGAAATGATACCGTGTAGGTGAGCTCCATTGTGTGTTCCAGCTCTGAGAGGAAAGGTAACAAGAGACTGGGAGCAAAGAACCCCAGGAGGGCGAGGCCTCTGCTCAGGAGAGAAGCAGCAGAGGACCGAGCAGAAGGCTGGGCTTATATGGAGTATGTCTTGGGAGGTAGGGGTGGGTGGAGCTTTCCGGGATGGGGATTGCTGGGATTTCAGGTCCAGAGCTTGGGTGTTTTGCTCTGGTTGGAAGGGGCCTGGATCCAGCTGTTAGGAAGTTATAAGTGCTCTGTGGATGGAACCTGGCAGTTGGAGGTGCTCAGGGGAGGGGCCTGGCCACTTGTGTGCCTTGAGAGGCTTACATTTCCCCCTTTTTGTTTTTTATTGATAAACAGGTTATGGCAAAGGGAGACCATGTTATCAGTAGACCACTTCCTGCTGAATCAGGATGTCCAAGTCCTTTGGGTGAACTTCATTGTCATCGTCAGTGTAATAATTGGGGGTCTCTGGCTCTGTAGCTAGTAATCCTATAATAGCAACCGATTAGAGGTCTTTTGAATCTCTTGTTGAAGAAATCTATTCAAGAAGTTTATAAGGCAGGGTTTGACTAGTATGACTAAGAAAAGGAGGAGAAAAGGTGTTAGGAAGGGTAATATCCAATTCCATATTGGCCAGCGACCACTGGCCCGAGGCATTGAACTGTTTCTTATGGTTTTGGAGACCTATGTGTAGTTGTCAGGTCTTGGCTATTACTGTACCTGACTGGTTGACATAGAAGCAACTTTCCTCCTCAAGGATGAGACAAAGGGCACCTCTCTCTGCTGGCAGTAAATCTAATCCTTGCTGATTTCATAGCACTTTGGACGGCCAGTGAATCTCTTTGGCCCTGGAGGGTAAGGATGGTCTGAGCCACCCACTGGAGCTCCTGCATGAACGTAGATGAAAACTGATGGGCAATGGCTAGGAAAGTAGTCAGTACTGCTGCTCCATCGGCAATGCCAGTATCCTAAAGGGTAGGACCCGGGCCACTCACTCATCATCCTGCCGTGGAACCAGGTACCACTCCTTCTGGAAAAAAGGAACACCAGGGCACAGGGAACACCGGGGCACCCTGTGGGGAGGTGCTGCAGAGGACCGAGGCATTGTGGGCATTCAGACACGAGGGCTGGGCGGCAGTGCCCAGAGTCAAGTGTTATTACAGTCAGAGGGATCCTGTGCTCCCGAGGAGACACTGAAGAGAGTTAGAGGTGGTTAGAGTGAGGGCCTCTGGGACATTAAACACCCAAATGTGAGAGCTACCTTGGAGGAAATAGTGGAGGAGAGTACCGGTTCAAATAACAAACCTACAACTTGAGTCAGCTTGAAATACTGAGACTTGGGCATGGCTGGAAAGTATGACATCCTCTACTAACGTTACCTGAAGAGAGAACTCGGGAAGGGAGCAGGGTTTGGAGGTCCTTGTGTGTTAGGAGGTGGGGCAGGTGGTGAGGAGAGACCCCGGGGTTAACTGTTTTGATTCACATATAAGCAGTTTGGCTGTGCCAGACATGCATTCTTGTATGTTAAGGAGGCTCAGCTTAATATGTCACTAAGCAAGCATGTCTTTAAGTCCTATCTTTCATAAACTGAATCCAGTGACCAGAGATAAATTCTGAGCCCTGGCCATTAAAGCAGCTCCAGCAGGCAGTGTTAGCACCGAGAAGGCAAAACAAAACCAATCAACACAGCACAGAAAGCTCACTCACTGAGGGGACCAGTAAGAAAGCATGCAGTGGCCAGCGTCGTTCATCCTCTGAGCACGCTAGCCCATTCCATCTCCGCTCCCACGCTTACAGTGACACTTAGGTACACCAGGACAGACCCATCTGCACACATAAGACAGACAAAATTTCCCAAACACCCAGAAACAGGCAGCATGCTGCGTCTCCCGTCTCACAAAACAAAACAAACGATTTATACCTTAGCAAGAATTTTACAGTTAAGCCCAAACCCAAGAGTCTGAGATGATGAGGTGGGTCACGATATGGGGTACTCTGCCCCTTGGTTTGCTCTCTCCTTTCTGTTGTCCCTTTCAGGTCCCCTGATAGGGGACAGAGATGTTGGGGAAACCTTTAAACAAGCTGCTTGGGTCTGGAGGAGGAGCCGTACCCCATACCCTAACTCCAGAGCCAGCTTTTGACTGAAGCGCCACTCATACCTAAAAGACACCTGAACACCCCTCCCCCTTAAAGCTGAATCTTGTAAGCTGAGAACAAAGAAAGGACAAACATAGAACATTCTTGAGTCCTGGCTATAGAGAGAGGGCCCTGTGGGAGGGAGCTGAGAGATGCACCCGCCCTGGAAGGTGTGTGTGTGTGTGTGTGCGCGTGCGTGTGTGTGTGCGCATGTGTGTGGTGTGTGTGCGTGTGTGTGCATGTGCGTGTGTGTGCACATGTGTGTGCGCACGTGTGTGGTGTGTGTGCGTGTGCGTGGTGTGTGCGTGTGTGTGCACGTGTGTGGTGTGTGTGGGTGTGTGTGCGCGTGTGGTGTGTGTGTGGTGTGTGCGCGTGTGTGGTGTGTGTGCGCGTGTGTGCGCGTGTGTGTGCGTGCGCGTGTGTGCGCGTGCGCGTGTGTGATGTTCTCCTGCGGCCTCTTCCTTTGCTTTCTCCCCTCCTGCTTGGCCTCCCCCTAACTCCACACTTTGCAATACTTTCACAGCTCCTTCAACAGTAACTGAAAAGACTGGTGTGGAGGTGTAAATGGGGCACAGGAGAGAAGACAGGGAATAGGGAATCTCTTTCCGTTTCCCAGATCGCTCTCCGTGTTTGTAAAAGCCCAGGAATAATAATAGGATCTAGGGTGCCATTAGGCAGACTTGGGTTGATTATCTAAGGGTTACTGAGGCCAAAGTTTATTGCAAAGTGAGTTAAGTTTAGGGCCCTTCAGGTGGGGGCGCCAGGTGTAGAGGCTGTGGGTTTTCTAAGAGGCATCCCAAGGGGGAATGAGGGTGTGGAAGACACTGTTCCGTGGATGAGAGAAGAAAAATGTCCCTGAAGCGCATAGCCACAGGCATCTCCAGCACTCAGGGAGGACCATCACCACACTCGGGAGGGGACAGGCCTTAGCCTGCCTAAGCCAAAGAGACTTGGAGCCTGGTACCAGGGCTTTCACGGAGGCCGGAAGGCAAGCACAAAAACCAAGCTCTAAGAGGGGTCTCAGCCACAGGAAAGGGTTGGAGACAGACTACAAAAGCCACCAGGGCCTAGAGGAGCTGTGGGTTACAGACGGCTCTGAAGGGAAGGTGGAAGAGGTCGGAAGGTCACAATAGCCCAGGTGAGCCTAAGGAAATTCAGGACTATAGCTCCAAGGTTGGCGGATGGAGTCAGGCGAGAGGGCCAGCTGTAGCCTTAAAGACCATGGCTGTGGGAACCTCTGCCTGCAAGGGCACCAGAGGACAGAGCGAGGTCCCTTCCTCAGACTCTGGAATGTTTACACCCACCAAAGTGGAAACTTAGTGGTAACTTCCCTCGTTGCTGCAGGTGGGTGGGTGCTGAGCAGTCAGTGAGCAGGAAGGTGAGTCTGTTGTGGGTGGGCTGGCCAGGAGGGGTCGGGTCCCGGTGCAGCTGAGGCAGGCACTAGGGGAGCCTACCCAAGTCCTAGAAGCGATGTGTTACAGCTCTGAGAGGCACAGGATCTAGGCAGCCAGGGGCAAAGGATTACCACAAACTCACAGCACACAATAAACCTCACCCAAGAGATTTGTGGGGAGGGAAAAACCAGGAGGCTGAGGTCT